GATCATCATTGAGACATTGGGAGACATTCAGCTGCAACAGTGCATTTATATGTGACATTCTTTTATATCCATGAACTTGCCGTATTGGCATTTGCATTGATTTCATGGATCAGCTGTATTCATACTGTCAACATTTGTTTACATGCCATAATATTGTTAATTAGTTAGATCAGTTTAATTAGTTGGATTAAGTTAGATTAGTTTAGCCAAGTTTAGGAATATTTATAGATAAACAACCTATTGTCTGTAAAAACGACAATGCATGCTTAGTACGACATTAGTGTCATTTTAACTTGCACTACCTACACAGCCATGCACTCGCGTAAATTATTCTCGCGTTAAAATTTCCGCGTCCGCGTTTGTTAACCTTATAAACTGTAGGATAATAAACCTAGGGTCTTTATAACTTTTCTCTATCCTGTACTGCTTCATTCGCCCTATCCTATTGGCGATTGCCTCCCTTTGCTTCGTATCAACTGGTTTTGTGTTTGTTTCTCTATCGTGGTGTTGTTTGCTCTTTGCCTTTGTAAGTATTTTGCTTTTGGGTGCTCAAGTCTGTATATATTGTGTATATTTCCATATATTATGTCTTTTCCTTGAGTTTGCATTTACAAACTTGTGCAAGTTTTATACTCTATGTATACCCTTAGCATTTATTACCGTAGTAACTCAAGAGTTGCGCTTGCGTTGAGCTCTTGCATCACACCTTGGTATACCACACACAGTATCATACACTCAGCAATATCAGAGCATATCCTATCACAGATACATTCATGTTTTATACCATGTTTGCTATTCCTTGTACACTGTTTGTGCACAGTTGATACTTTACCTGGGGTATTAGTATCAGCATAGTTTATATATTACTACCGCAGTTACTCTACTGGATCTACGCGTGGTTGTATAAACGGGTAAATACATTGCCAGTGCTTCCTGGCAGTTTCTCTACTGGATCTACTCGTGGTTGAATAAACGGGTAAATACATTGACAGTGCATCCTGGCATCTTACTGACTAACCAATCACCTGTTTTTGCCTTTCCATAAACTGAAAATAATTCGGCCACACACACAGTGGGTTTCCTGGCAAGAACATATTGACCAGGGGTTGTACTGCCCAGGGTAGAGAAGCATTTTGTGAGTAACTGATTAAAAACCAGCCCTGAGGTTACGCTTGTTGTACATATTTGTCAGAACTAACTTTTAGATATTGCGTTTATTGAGACATAAATACATGTCTATTTTCACCCATTTATCTCCAAATCAAATAATGCAAAATACGTTGAAGTCAAATCTTTAACAATCATACAATACTGAATGTTTAAATCTTAGTAAGTGAATACGTGAACATATTTGCTTATGTTTGTTTTGCATTTCTTGCGTTTCATTTTTAAGTGCAGTAAGGGAACACTGTTTGAGAGTCCTTCAACACCATCGATGCACAGTTATGTCCCTTACACCATACACAGGTGCTCTTTTTACTTATCACAAAATGATGTTTCTTTGTTTGTTTAACGCCGCACTCAGCAATATTCAAGCAATATGGCGGCGGTTTGGACCAGACACGAACAGCTCACAAACACAATATGGCGGCGGTCTGACCAGAAAATCGAGTGGTCGAAAGCAGAAGCATTTTGAGACAAAGGACATTTGTCAACAAAATTAGCGAGCCTGACCACCTGATCCCGTTAGACGTATCTTACGACAAGCATGGGTTCTGAAGACCAATATTAACACGGATCTTCAACTGTGAGATTACCTTCAAGCAAGACGTACCATTACCTCACATAGTTTAGTCACGGGATAAGTCTAATAGTTATTCAATATTTCTTTGGTCGCAGACATTACCCGACACGAAAGATTGATTTCCAATGGCAAACGAAATCAATGGTGGTGTTGAAACTAACACACTCGTGTAGCTATTAACTGACTGACTGACTGAGTTTGGTTTTACGCCGCTTTTAGCAATATTCCAGCAATACCACTGCGGGAGACACCAGAAATGGGCTTCACTCATTGTACCCATGTGGGGATTCGAACCCGGGTCTTCGGCGCGACGAGCCAACGCTTTAACCACTAGACTACCCCACCGCCCCTGTAGCTATTAACAACTAACGCACAAGCTAAGAGGTTACATATAGATAGTTACTACTCGTGTAATATAGAGCTGGTTTTCTGGTGGAGTGCTTTGGTACATTGAGGTTGTGACGTGGACCCCATGTGGGGCTCGTTGTTTCGGGGTTCGATTCTGGAACAAAATAATACCAATTCTTTGCTGTCTCCTGTCAAAGATTCCCCACGTCGGTACAATGTGTGAAGCCCATTTCTGGTGTCTCCCGCAGTGGTATTGCTGGAATATTGCTAAAAGCGGCGTAAATCCATACTTACACATTCCAGTCAGATATTCTTCTAAGATGCTAATACTGATGTGAAACCAATCTTGCAAACACAATCACAAAATAAGATATAAATTAGTTTAACACATCTCCTGAAATCGATATATTGTCCCATGTGAGTGCATGGCTATCTTCTTAGAAAATGTTATTCCATTCCCAAGTGTTAACAATTTCGTGCAAACACGCCAATTACAAGCGGTTTTTGTGATGTGCACATGAACTTGGTGTTGGTAAAAAACATTCGAGTGAAATCTGTCAGTGTGTTGTTTTTTATTTCAGTGATAAATTCCATGCACAAGATTGTATAGTCTGTCGGACCCTACTTGTTTGTATGTTGTCTAAGTTGCCATTATGATAACCTTAGGCCCTCGAAGAGGAAATCACAAGGCGTCAAAGCAGGTATATACGACATGTTTAAACACTACATTAAATAGATAAATCGTCCCATGTGAGTGTATGACTATCTACTTCCGTTTCAGTATCAAGCACAAGCAGTGTAGATGGCTCACAAGTTCATTCTTGGAAACTGTACGTTGAGAAAGTACCTCTACACCATGTCGTATTTCTATAGCCAGTAGTGTCAACTCAGTTGATCAAACACAATCATGGTTAATACATAATGACCATTTTACTCAGAGCCTTGTATTTTGTCTTCAGTTTTTTGTCTTCTCTCTCTCTCTCTCTCTGTCTGTCTCTCTGTCTCTCCCTGTCTCTCTCTCCCCCTCTCTCTCTCTCTCACTCCCTCTCTCTCTCTCTGTCTGTCTCTCTGTCTCTCCCTGTCTCTCTCTCCCTCCCTCCCTCCCTCTCTCTCTCTCTCTCTCACTCCTCCCTCTCTCTCACTCACTCACTCTCACTCACTCTCTCTCACTCACTCACTCACTCTCTCTCTCTCTCTCTCTCACTCACTCAAATCATGCAAGAGTATGGCCTTTGCAGCTCAATCAAGAAACCCGTGTCATGCCGACAATATCTTTTTCTCATTTTGTAATCTTTCGCTTACATTCATATTTCGGGGTTAGTGAATTATTGTGTGGGCTGGTAACTTTCAGGCATAGCTAGCTCGACTGGCTAGCAAAATCTGGAGACTAGTTCACATACTGAATATAACCAATGTATCATCCGTATAGACCACTTAGTCCCAGTAATATATGCCACTGTAATTCAGTATAGTTCATTGTATTCAAGGCTGAACGCCCACATATATATGGGTAACATAATGTTACAGTGAATGTGACTAACGAATATACATGTAGAGTGTATATGATGTTAACATTAATTTGCCAATATAGCGTTTCTAAATAATTTGCACCAGTTTGTAGTAATTACATTAATAATATCCACCATAATAAAACAGTAAGTTTTAATTTTCTCTATATCGTAGTCTATATTTAGCAAAGGCATTTATCAAATATAATTAGACGAATAACAGATTCTCTTTGGTGATTTATTGTATGCGTCCATAATCTGTCCGTGGTCTTGCCCAACCTTTTCGTCATAAATGGACGGTGGGGTGGCCTAGTGGTTAAAGCGTTCGGCCGTCACGCTTAAGACCCAGGTTCGATTCCCCACATGGGTACAATGTGCGAAGCCCATTTCTGGTGTCCCCCGCCGTGATATTGCTGGAATATTGCTGCATGCGGCGAAAACTAAACTCACTTACTCTTGGCCATAGTGCTAGAATGCTCTCTGAAGTGCATTACACCATCATTCTTAACACAAGCTTCAGGGTATAACTGATGTTTACAAATGCTTTCCTTCAATTGTGAGTGCCATTCCTGAAATGAGAATTCTTTAAATTCATTTGACGGCATTTTGAAAGTATTCAGTATTCCTTTCATTAAACACTAGGGATCGCTAAACAGATCGATAATGGGAAATATTATAGGAAGTATTATTCATGATTATCGATGGGAAATTTGTGTTATCGACAATATCATACATAAACTTTTGTGATAGAATAAAGAATTAATTTACCCACACAGTACACAGTGTCAGGACTTTATTCTTGAGCTTTTATATTATGTTGAGGACGCTGTTTTGTTAGTTATCCATGCACAAATATGTCACCACTCACCAGTGATGTGAAATATATTCATTTGTTTCAAATATGTTTTGGCATTTTTACTCAAAGTTACTTCTCTGATATTTATCTATAATTGATCAGCATTTAGTTAACGATTATCGATCTCTTGGATCTGTATCAATAGCCAGCCCTAGTAAACACCGGGTGTCTTCCAATATCCCCAGGTGCCGTTACATTTGGTAAGCAATTCGGCACTGTAGAACGTATAGGGTTTTATCCATAGGTAAAGCTAGTGGGATATAGGATGCAGGATGCAAATGTCAGCCAGCTTTCATAATTATATATGCGAAAGAAACAAAATACAATATGCCATTTTTTTAAAATCTGTTTATTTTTAGATTTTAAACATTATCTTTTATGTTCCGCTTATTACAGTGTGTAAAGAGATGTCTTGCGATGAATGGTGATGAATGGTAATAAAGATTTCATAAATTCGTATTGTTATATTTCTTCAAAAGTAATGTGTTTCCAACTTGAGTGTCAAAGTCATCTATGGCCGTCAAGTGAGTATGATTGCCGATGATTTTGGAGAAAATGTCAGCTTACTGTCGAGGAAATGATATGTAGATGTTGCAACTAGTTTTTAGATCTGTGGAATACAGCTGCCGATCGAATCTAGTCCTACATAGTTGCTGTCAATTCGCAGGTACATGAGACATGTCCTGGTTATTTCAAATTACAAAATGGATTTAGTTTACTGATTTGGACAGAAAGAGAAGTAGGATAAGGAGAGGACTGCAGACGAACAGTTTTCCGGCTGAACCTGTAAAAAGATATATTACGACAATTAATCGAAGAAGTTCATAAAAATATACCTGGATTTAGACACATTATAGGATTAAGAATAACTCTAAAAATATTAATCTCTTTGTTTATATATAAACTAGTGCTCAAAGGAAACTATGTACAGCCAAATATTACATACAAATCCATAAAAATAAAACTGAAGTGATAAAACCAAACTGAGTCATGTCACACACGTACAGACCTATCTTTCCAGGAACAAACGGTGAAACAAATGAACGTCGCAAAAAATCCAAAACGACTTTTTCTGTTGTAACACGGAATGCAGGTGCATACTGACGGTCTAAAACAGCCTACGCGACACGTGAGCAACACAGTAGTATAAGGAACACACAAAATATGCCACGTTTGAGGCACATCGAATGAGTGGGATGTTACGACGTAAATTGTGATAAAAACGTAAATTGTAATACTTGCAGCAAATTGTAATAACCCGTGACGTAAATTTACGTAAATATTTATTACATTTTACTGCAACAAAAGTTATTACAATTTACGTCAATCTTTATTGCAATTTGCGCATTACAATTTACGTCAATTTTTATTACAATTTACGTTTTAATTACAATTTACGTCAAGGGTTATTACAATTTGCTGCAAGTATTACAATTTACGTTTTATTACAATTTACGTCGTAACATGGGAGAGCTGTCGGAATGGTCCAACAAGGAGCTAACCTCACCGTCATTGCCAGAACCTTCGGCTGCACACGTGCAACTGATGCAACGACTAAGACAAACAGGCAATACATCAGACAGGCCTTGGAGTGGTCGAGTGTGACAACGCCCAGTGATGATTGCCACATCAGGACAATTCATCTGAGATATCATTTTGTAACGGCGACGTCAACAGCCGCGAGGGCACTAGAACGCCGTAGCAGTCGAAATGCAGAGCACCGACGACGAAGAGAAGATGGGATTCGAGCACGTCGACGCTTCAAAACCGACGTCGTCGATTGACATGGGCCAGACAGAGGAGTGATTGTCGACGTGCGATGTTCACTGACGAGAGTATATTTGGCCTGCACAGTAATGACGGCCGGGCTCGTGTTTACAGATTAGGATGTGAACTTTTAGCGCCGAATTGCGTTTAGCAAGTCCGACCGTTTGGAGCCGCCCCAAACTCGTAAGAAGCTTTTATATTAGGGGCTATTGTTTTTCGGCGTCTCAACGGCAAGCAAGTCAAAAGGAGAATGTAACTAGTTAAGACAAAGCAATTATATAATGTACTAGCGGTACTCACCACATCCTTGCTCATTTATTGACTTCTGTATCCTTTCGAGTTCACTAACAGTGGAATCGGCTCCACAGTCTGTGAGTATTCTCTTAGCACAGTCTAGATATGCGTTGCCAGACCTATTAGAGAATTTCACTAATTGTTGACAAAAAATATCCTTTTTAAGCGTTTGTTGAATTTCTTTGTGTAAACTGCATACAATTCCAAAACAAAATGATACTTTTCAAGAAATTAAACAATTTAATAAAATTTACTGAAATATATGTTCATTATCACGACTCCATCATTGTTGATACAGTAATGCACATATTACTGATAGCTTTCACAAATAGAGGCGAAGAGAATATACATACTGGCATAATTCCTGGAGAGTTGGATTGTCTGACGCAATTCTGAGATACCTCGTCAGATCTGAGTTACAGGCACCTGGGTCGCATGCCCCTTCCACCTTGATGCTGAGGGCTGTAATGAAAAATCATATGTACAGAACTGTATACAGAGAACCTTATATCAAGATAGGATGTCACCACGCAATACAGGCAGTTCCCAACGTCGTCATGCAATAACGCTTTTATTGCGTTTGCCCACCGGTTTAACATGAATACCTTTTCTTGTTTGTTTGCTGTTCAATGCCACACTCAGCAATATTCCAGCTTTACGACGGTGGTCTGTAAATAATCGAATCTGGACCAGACAATCCAGTGCTCAACAGCATGAGCATCGATCTACGCAATTGGGATATGATGACATGCGTCAACCAAGTCAGGGAGCCTGGCCACCCGATGCCGTTAGTCGCCTCTTACGACATGCAAGTGACATGTCAGAGACAGTATACTGACTCAGGCTAGTGCTTATTTAACCCCTTCATATTGGGCAGCAGGTAGTACCACCCTTAAACGTGTAAAATATGTGTTCCTTGAGCCTTGTGTTGATAGGTCGGAGCAGAGATGCCTTCATTACCAGCATCGAGAGTGGACTGCAGCAACTGGCCCCCAACGGCAACGTGGACTACCTCCTCCACCAGATCGCCAACATCATCAAGAAGGCCCCCAAACCAAAGAATAACCTTACCAGAGATGAGAGACGTGCCATGGCTGAACTACAGAAAGATAACACCATCACCATAACTGAGGCTGACAAAGGCAAAGTAGCAGTCATCATGGACACCCCGGAACTCCTCCAGTTCATCAACAAGAGCCACTGTCAAGATCCACAAGAACCCACCTAAAGCCAGGATAGTAGTCTGCTCCAGAGAATCAATCTTCAACAACACCGCCCAGGTCCTCTCCCGCCTTTTAGCCCCTTTTGGAAAAGAGGGTAAGTCCTACATCAGCGACTCCTCGTCCTTCGTCAACCAGCTGGAAGACGCCAACCTCACTGATATCATGGTCAGCTACATGTACGACGTCCTCGACCGACCTCTTTACCAACATCTTTCGTACCAAGCTCCACACCAGAAAAGACCAACTCGAAACCAAACTCACCATAGACAGCATCATCAACCTCACCTCCAGCTGCTTTGAAACCTCCTACTTCACCTTCAACGACAAGATCTACAAACAGATTCACGGACACCCCATGGGTTCCCCTCTGCCCCCCCCCCCCCCTTATCACAGAGATTATCATGACATCCTTTCTAAGAATCAGCCCATTCCAACCTCGTTGCTGTTACCGCAAAGTTGATGACACCTTCACCACCATCGCCCATCATAACGAACCCGACCACCTGCTCCATCTCAATGCCCAACATCCTTGAATCCAGTTCACCAAGGAAACAGAGACCTACCACCAACTTCCCTTCTTACATGTCTCCCTGCAATCCAAGGGACCATGGACTTCTGTCTATTGCAAGCCGACACACACCGACCAGTACATCCATTACAACTCCTGTCATCACCCCCAGATCAAGCAAGCCACCGTAGCCAACCTCACCAGATGTGCCAAATCCATCTGCCACCCAGACGCCCTCAGCAACGAACTACAACATCCAAAGGACACATTCACAGCTCTCAACGGATACCCTGTGCACCTTGTCACCAAGACCATCAACAAAACCTTCAACTCCATAGAGACCAGCCCCAAGCCTGCACCATCCCCTGTCAGACTGACTATTCCCTACAATTGACCTATCAGCCACAGGATTTCCCGCCTCATCAATAACCAAGCCAGCATTGACGTCACATTTTCTAGTGGCAAGATCCTCAAGAATCTTCTCAGAGCCAATGGCAGAGGGTCCAGCACTGCAAGTCCAAGCCCAAGAGGTTGCATCTACCAGATTCCATGTAGTTGTGGACAACAGTACACCGGGGAAACGCTGCGACCTACCAACACAAGGCGCAAGGAACACCAAGCCTCTGTCAACAAGCTCGACCAGAAGTCCGCCATATCGGAACGTATCCTCAAGAACAAGGACCACACCATCAAATGGGAAGCGACCAAAATCTTGTCCACCAACAATAACTGGCGCCAAAGGAAGCTTCAGGAAGCCACAGTCATACGGAGTCAACAGCCAGACATCAACAGCCAGATCAAGGGATATATTTACCATGTGCTTGGGACTCACTTATCTAGATACACTCACCTATGCCTATCGCCACCAGTAGTATATACAATGGCAGTACGAGACCACTTCTGACAAAAGCCTCTGTAAAGTTTTATTTATTAAATATAGCTTTTATCAGGTCCCTAATCTCTTCCGCTAGTGTATATACCACTTTTGAATCCCCAGCCAACTTCCTTGTCACTATGACCGCGAGCCAACACTTTCCTGGTCACGTGACACTATTGTGATCACCCGGCTATGTTGTTTCATATAATGTTGATCTCGGCGAAACAATTTAATGTGAACCTCGTATGATTTCTTTGGTTTTCGTAATAAAGGCTTGTTGGGCTTGTTGTATCCCTTGTTCTATGTACTTTTTTTCTCATCTTCACCGATGACAGTGCTTTTACGAGACTTGTTTCGAATCTCTCGTTTCATTCTGTGATATTTTGTGAGTTCAGAGAGTACCAAACGAAACTTATCCTGTGAGATTATTTTGTCTGTGAGTGCGATGGAAATATGGTCGCTTATCGTGTTTAACTTTGCTTCGGCTAGAATTCTAATTTCATCGTGTTTCAATACTTTATGATGTAATTTGCGAGATGCAAACTTAAACACCAACCCCACCAACCCTGACACCCCAGCTGTTATTTCAAAACCTAGCACAATAGGTGCGGCTACGATGGTGGTCAACAACCCGATACCTACCGCTCCTAACCCCATGCTAGTTGCCATAAGGGTGGTATCGACCCCGTCCCCGAAATTGAAAGCTCTATTATATTTCCTACTTAATTACGACCGCATATCACGGTCTTGTTCTAGTTGGTGTTTTATATCACATAACTGTTTCAACCAAAATCCGTCTACGGTTTCCAGTGTTTTCGCTACTGCTTCTACGACTGGGTACAGTCCCATCCTGTGTGTGTATTATATATTATAAGATAAAATTTAATTGGTTTTTCGTTAATTTCTTATCAATGTCTTTGAGGCTTATAAGGTTTAGATTTCTATGCAAGAAAATCCCTGAGACATCAATAGGCACACCTTGGTCCATAAAACTGACCCCCTCGAGGCTTACTAAGGGTGCCGATCCTGGTTGTACGATGATACGACAACGTTGGTAATTGTGCCTGTCTTCCCCGACTATTACCAACCCGGATAAAGGGGTTTCACCGTTACGAGTGTTCCCGAGATAGACTTCTATGATGAGTGTGGTGTCTGGTCTCATAACCAAAAACTTCTGATGGTAATCGGGTGATTTGGACCTTAAAAAATGCAATCTCATCAATTGGAGCTAACATGTTGCCCATGTAACCTGGTATTCGTATAACTTGGGTATTATCAAACGGAATGAAAGATGTGAGAATGATCCCATTGTTCTTAATCTCGGAGACGTAACCATTCTGTTTAAGGTGCAGTGAGGGTCACGTTGATCAAACATTCGGGTTCTTTAAAGTCTGCCAGAGACATCCGCTCAAACACGTTGTCTTTTAAACGCAGGACGTACAAGACGTTTTCCTCACTGGGCCGATCGAACCCCTCCGTGTCTCCTAAATCACGGAGTGTTACGTTGGGGTGATGACTGTTCATCGTTTATATAGAATATTATAAAATAGTTTCCAATTGTTCTTCTGATAATTTCTCAGGTGTGCACTTCAACCCCATGAGATGTATGTTGTCGGATAGGAAAAGTTTGGTGAGCGATATCGTGCCTTCCACGGTAACGGTAACTCCCTGCAGACTGGTGTGGGAATCGATGTTCACCCGCATGTAAACAGAGCAAGCGTGATATTGATGTCGTTTGGCCTAGCGGGGTTTGATTCCTTTCACGATTTCGACTTCGCGCGATGATGGTGGTTCACCGAGGTAGACTTGGATGATCAGCATGGAATTCTCCTGTATATTTCCTAGGATGTCGACCACGTTGTCGAATTCAGACACTATTTGCAATCATACGTTTTGCGTCCCAGGTTTGCTCGAGAGTATGTGAGTGAGTACATCAAGACCTGACAAGGCTTAGACGACCATGGTGCGTCTCTGCGCTGGGACGTAAGCCACGAGCAGCGTTCTGTTGTTCACGACTTTGTTTAGGTAGTGGTCTTTGTTTTCTGTGAACACATAGGGAGAGCCAAGCATGATGTTGAGAAACCAGTCGGTTCGAGATTGTACCAAACCCCATTTGTCGTCGTCGGTGAAGACGAGGCTGTACTGCTTGTTTCGAGCGACAACCTTGGCCACGACGTCGTCTAGGTCAAACAGTTTGCTACCGAACGCTGGGTATACCATCCATTTATCCTCACCGCTGTGGACTAGGGCGTACCGAGTGTTGCTGACAGCTCCTGAGGTATCAACGATATCACTTAAGTCACTGTCGGATCCACCGGCGGGACTTCAACGCGTTTGTAAACGTTATTTTTCAGTTGCAAGGCATACAGTTTACCTTATATTCCTGGGTCGGCAAATCCACAAGTGTCACCGAGGTCGGAGATCGCTAGGTTGGCACATTTTCTTAATCGCATTCCTGGGCCATGGGCGCTATTCATTATCGTATGTGTAGCGTTATGCTGAGGTACCCTATATTAATAGGATGGGTTTTTTATATCTAAAATACATGTTTTTAATTCCGAGATGGTACCTCGCGTTAATTTCTTGTACTGCTGTGACAAAAACGATTCGGTTCTGCCGTCGTTGTACTTTTCCGTTTTCACTGATACGGCTCTCAGCAGTGTAGAAGGGCATTGACGAACAACCTGTTGTTGCTGCTGTTGATGTTGGTCCATCGCGGGTGGTAGGCGATATCGCAGAGTGCGACTTCAAGTTGGCCTGACGTGTTATCGATCGCGTGCATCAGTTGAACTGACTCACCGCTCATTATTCCTGGAAGTGTTACGTATATATCAAAGTATATATGTCCATTATA